AGTGGGGAGAGGGAGCGGTGAGGTTAATAACTGTCGGCACTTCGGGAAGCAACACGGCTTCTCGAGCGTGGCCGCGCACGTGCAGCCGCCGCCGCCCACGTGCATCGCTCGGGCCTGGCCCTGGAGAAACTGCCGATTCATGCGTTCCTAGAGAGCCAGGCCCAAGAGTGATTTAAGGTTCGTGCCATGCGGGCCGAACAGTGAAAACAGGCAACCAATCGGCCCGTTTTCGTCCCGCGCGAGTCAGGCCGGGCCTCATGCAGGCTACCAAACACGCCCTACATGGCGCAGTTACGCACAGTTTCTTAGGCGACACGGGCGCAATTCGATCTGATTCTCTATTTGATGATCTTTGTGGCACATTGTTTATTTTCCTATTTTATTTTATTTGTATTTTTTTTAGAAAAATCCAAAAGTTGTTTGGAATTTCAAGAAAAAAAATCTTGTTAAGAAGGAAAATATTGTGTGTTCCAATAAACATTCAGGATTTTCAAAACATCACGTTTTAAAAGAATGTTCAAGGTTTCAAAAACATTTCTTGGGTTTTCACGTTTTATTCGCAGATTCAAAAAATGTTTGGGAATTTCAAAGAATGTTCTGGTTTCAAAAAGTGTTCCTATTTTTCAAAAATTTGTTCACACTTTTCAAAATATGTCAAGAATTTCGAACAGTGTAATATTTTTTTTGAAAAATGATTCCCTTTTTTAAAACAATATAATATTCGCTACAGTACCATGCACCGGTGCGCTATGGTATCGCGTTCGGTTTTGCTACAGTTGCTTGGTTTGGTTGGCTACAACACTCGGTCCGGTTTCCTACGGTACAATTCTCTTGCTCGCTTCACTGCGCCATTAGGGACAACCCATTATTTTGGTGGGCGCGTGTGTGTTCGACCGCCAATCTGCCGCAAAGTGTGGGAGATGCGTAGACCACATACACAGTCAATTTAAGCCAGTCATATAGGGCACCTCAGACAAGCGCAGAAAGCACGCATGAAGCCAAAGTTGACTCACCTAATCTATTGTCGCAGACGCAGACGGCATCTTCGGCCATGTCAACCACACCAAACGTCTGCACTGAGTGGGAGACTTCTAATCACAAGAGCTAGCGCCACCAGGAATACGGAGGCTACAACCCGCCTACCTTTTTCCTTGTAGAGACTAGAGAGTCACCTCGCAAGGACAAAAATAATCCTTAAATCATCAACATATACAGGGATAAAGAAAGATGTGTCACTGCCCGTGAATCAGGAAACAGAAGTCTCCGATGCAAATCACTGCCATACGAGGCTCCGCCAGTGCTGGTAGGCAGGCTTTGCCACCCAATTCCTCCAGTTGGGGTGGCTGGGGAGGGGACGAGAGGAGGCGACGGCTAGGATTTCGCCCTGACGCCCCCTTGGGAGCAAGTAGGGCATCTCTCTAGCAGTTCGGGCACTTGCATATGTTGATCATAGATAGAGAATTTGTCCCAGCTAAAACATTTCATCCATCAAAGGGAACCTCATCAACTAAAATATAAATCCGACTTGAAGATTAAATTTGGAGAACCACGTGCAAAATTCTGATCTCATTGTGAACTTCTTCTTATTAACTCAACCGGCCAAGCCTAGAGTCTAGTCAGTTGGTGGAGATGCACCTGGTTCACGAAAATTGCGCTTGCTTGCCTAGAAAAACAAGAGGAAAATTTCAACATAGCTGATGTTGATGCACCATCCGAAGACATCATTTTATTCTTTGGCATGCAGAAATATACTCTACATTACTGTATATTATAGCATAGGGTTCTGATCTGATCTGAAAGTATCTATAGTTGATGACAGCGCACACAGGTTGGGTTAGTTAAGTACTATTACAAAGGACACGACAACGTTCAAGTGGGAACAAGTGTGTCAACCAGGAAAACCTCGACCTAATGTGACCAATAATTGCCACTGCCTTTGAATTTTTTATCCAGCAGCAGCTAACTGGCTAATCTCTACCTAACTAACAGCGAGCTAGCACAATGAACCAACTAACCATGGAGAATTAACAAATAAATGATCATGCCTTTGTTTCCTTAGGGGTTAGCATCTGAGGTTAATTAACATTCTCAGATTAGTTAGAAAGCAAGTACTAACATGGAGTACTAGTATACCGAAGAACTAGTACTACTTGTGATTGAAGCAATTGTCCAGGGAGTGTCTGTCCCACTTAGACCGCTAGTACTAGAGCAACTCATCCACACAAACATACCTTAGCGAGCTCGTAGCTAGTTCTCCACACCCTATGAAACCATGGAGGCGGCTCTCGTGAGTGCCGCGACGGGGGCCCTGAAACCCATCATCAGGAAGCTGGCCACCCTGTTGGGTGACGAGTACAAGCGTGTCAAGGGGGTGCGCAAGGAGATCAAGTCCCTGACTCATGAACTCTCCGCCATGGATGCTTTTCTCATGAAGATGTCAGCGGAGGAGGATCCGGATATGCAAGATAAAGTTTGGATGAATGAGGTACGGGAGCTGTCCTATGACATAGATGATTTCATAGACGACTTTCTGAAATATGTCAATGACGAAGACACTAAGCCGGATAACTTCATGGAGAAGATCAAGTTCTTCCTGGGAAAGATGAAGACCCAGCGTCAAATTGGCAAAGAAATTGAAGATTTGAAGAAACAAATTATTGAGGTCGGCGAGAGGAATGCAAGGTACAAGACTCATGATACCTTCTCCAAGACCCTCAGTATATCTGTTGACCCTAGAGCTCTTGTTATCTTTGAGAATGCATCAAAACTAGTTGGAATGGATGCACCAAAAAATGAGATAATCAAACTTTTGAAAGAAGAAGATGGACATGTGCCAACAAAATCACTATTAAAGATAGTCTCCATCGTTGGATCTGGAGGAATGGGCAAGACAACTCTTGCAAACCAAGTGTATCAAGAGCTAAAAGGAAAATTCGACTGTCGAGCTTTCATATCAATGTCACGAAATCCAGATATGATGAATATCCTAAGAACTATTCTTAGTAAAGTCGGGAATCAACGTTATGCTGAAACAGAAGAAGGAAGCGTGCAGCAACTAATTATCAACATCAAAGAGTGCCTACTAGATAAAAGGTATATACTATCTATATATTTTCCTTCCACATTTATTGAATATATAAATATTTATACTGGTACATATTTCATAGGAACACTACTAGTACAATTACTGTATGGTCTCAGATTGTTGTTTTTCTTTATAAAGAGAAGATTACTAGTATGATTTATATAAAAAGAAATTCCATAAAATTATTTCTCATGTTTTTAGGAAATGCAATGTCAAATGTTTGTAGTAATGTCCTTGTAGGTTTCCATAAGAGAAGTGAATTTACATAATGTACAGAGTACATATAAGAATAGGTGTGTATGCCTAGGGAGTGATCGTGTCTCCGATCATTTCAAGATAGTCTAGATTGTTGTACACTTGTATTGTTGAGATGCGATGTGCCTTACCATTTTCTTTCCTCCATTTTGCATCCATATACTCTTGTTTATGCCACTTTCCCATGATAATCTATCAAGAGCAACTTTGATGAAGCTCCTGATGCGTTGGCCACATTCATCGATCGTGTGCGGCCTTGCGTCACCATGATGTAGCTGTCCAAAACCGGAAAATTTATATTTGGAGGGTTAGGCTAGACCAAAACGGTTTAAGAGAGGAAAAATAAGCCAGATCAGTAGCCTAAGAGGAAATGATAACATTTTCTATATATTATGTCATTTACTCAATATTCATTTTAAGACACTAGATCTTTAGGTCCGCACGAGATTTTAGCTTTGTTGTCATGATCACCTAATCAGGATCCCTAGCTTCCAAAACAATTATGTATGTATGATAATTCATAATCATATTTCCCATCTCTTCCTTAGCAACATAAATTTATCAATGTTGATCATTTTCTTTCAGTGCGCCTAGCTCATGTTGAAATTGTGTGTACCGCCTTGCTCTCTGTAATATGCCAAACAAGCATGTGGATGTGTATAGACGTAGTATGTCAATAACTTGCGCAATTCAAATCCATATGTTAACAATGTCAGCGGGTCTCAATTATTTAGTTGCAGTACACTCTCTATTTTAAAGGCACGCTGATGTTTATTCGTCCATGTGAAGGTACTTTATTGTTGTTGATGATATATGGGACGTCAAAACATGGGATGTCATTAAGGCCACATTCCCCATTGATAGTTTTGGCAGTATAATAATCACCACTTCACGCGTGAGAGATGTCGCTGAGTCATGTTGTTCATCATTTAGAGGCCATATTTACAATATAAGGCCTCTTAATATGATGCACGCACAACAGTTATTTCACGAAAGGTTGTTCAACTCTAAAGAAGATTGCCCTGCCCACCTTAAAGTAGTTATGGATAAAATATTGAAAAAATGTGATGGTTTACCTTTGGCAATCATTGCAATAATTGGTCTATTATCTAACACGGAAACAACGGAGCTTCTTTGGAATCAAGTGGAAATTTCGATTGGTCGTGCACTTGAAAGGAATTCTAGTGTGGAAAGAATGATGAACATATTATCACTCAGTTACTTTGATCTCCCTCCTCATCTAAGAACCTGTCTTTTATATCTGAGTATATTTCCGGAGGATTCTATTATTGAGAAGAAAGTTGTCATAAGGAGATGGATTGCTGAAGGATTCATTCAGAAGGAAGGAAGGTACACGGTACATGAATTAGGAGAAAGATATTTCAATGAACTCGTCAATAGGAGTTTGATCCAACCCGTGGAGTCCGATAGATATGATAGGACGATGAGATTTTGAGTTCATGACACAATTCTTGATTTCATCATATCCAAGTCCGTCGAAGAGAACTTTGTCACTTTTGTGGGTGTTCCCGGAATACCTGTTGGGACGCAAAGGAAAGTTCGTCGTCTCTCTCTCCAAGTTGGCAATCAAAGGAAGTTGTTCCTACTAAAGGATGTAATATTGTCGCATGTCCGATCTTTAAATGTGTTTGGGGATTCCATGGAAATCCCTTCTCTAGATGAGTTCATGCATTTGCGTGTTCTAGACTTTGGTGGATGTCGTCAATTGGAAAACCATCATCTAGTAAATATAGGGAGGTTGTTTCATTTAAAGTACTTGAACCTCAGGCACCTTGGGGTAAGTGAGCTTCAAGAACAAATCAAGCATCTACAATACCTTGAGATGTTGGACCTAAGAGACACCAATGTACGTGAATTGCCGAGAGCAATTGCTAATCTCAGTAGCTTGGTGCATCTACTTGTTGACAGTGGTGTCACATTTCCTGATGGAGTTTTGAAAATGCAAGCATTGGAGATATTGAAACAGGTCGAAGCCCTCGGTCAGTCTTTGAACTTTCTCCAAGAACTCGGGCAGCTGAAGAATCTGAGGAAGATATACCTTGATCTGTTTGATGTTCCAGTAATTGGGGTTACCAAGGAGTGCTGCAAGAGTTTCATTGGCTACAAATCTCTCCGCAACTTGGGCACGCAGAACCCCCGTTCTGTAACTGTCTGGCATGGCAGCGGCTTCTTACTGGAACCGTGGTACCCTGCCCCGCGTAGCCTCGAGAAGCTAATTACTTGGCGTTCAGCAGTTCCTTGTGTTCCAGAGTGGGTGGGTTCCCTCGTCAACCTGCAGAAGTTACGCCTTGAAGTGGAGAGTCTTGGGCAACAAGATCTGTGTATACTTGGAGCCTTACCTGTTCTTCTCACTCTGGATCTCGAAAAAACAACAAAATCATCAGAAGGCAAGCTCAATGTCAGTGGAGGAGATGGGTTCCGATTCCTGAGGAACTTGCGTTATAATATGATGCTAATGTTTGCACAAGGATCTATGCCCAAGCTTGAAAGGATCAAGATTTATCTAGCCAAAACAGAGTCTCTCATTGGTGACACCTATGACTTCGGGTTGGAGAATCTCCCCTGCCTCATATATGTTGAATGCAGAGTGAGTGGCAACGCAAGCGCTCAAGGTGGTGTTGAGGCTGCAAAGGCTGCCATGGAGAGAGCAGCTATGGCAAATCCCAACCATCCTAAACTACTCTTTGTGAATCGCAGTCTACCAGCAAAGTTGCATAATGGATGCTAACTACGTCCTGGACATGCTGGCACTTCAGGTACAATAATTCCCAAGATTCATGTTTGTCTTACATTGTTGCAGCGTATAACCCTGCCTGTAGTTGTGTTCTTAAAAAGGAACAAGAATTTTGTGTATGTCCTCATGATGTTACTGATTCCCGTCCTCATGACCACTCCCTGATTCAGGCAGTCTTCTTGCGTGGCATCTTGCTGGAGGTTAGAGAACTCATGGTCTGGAGGGGGATATAGGCCTCATAGAAGAATATTTGAAGACGTGTCATCTATGTGAACTTTCATCCTTTTGACCTTACTGATATTTGTACTTCTGATGTGCCGAATGGCCTTAGTGTTGCCTCGCTGTTTGACCCGGTTTGCTTCAGACGTATTTTCATGTTGTAAACTATAGTACGGTGCTTCCTCAAATTAATGCTCAAGCATTATTTTTAACGCTCCTCCACTAATTGGTTGAAAATTGCATAGGAAGCTCGATCAGATTATTAGAGAGTTTATTATGTCTGATTTGGATGGCGTACTAGTGATAGGCTTCTTATAGTATTTAGAGCAGTCATGGACTAATGGTACATCCTTCCTATGTTGGCTTGTCTTGATGCTTTTGTCTTCCCCACTTTTCAGGGAGACCATTATTTGATGGCAATGATAAATGAGATATTAAGTTAATTAGGCTATATCCATCCAGTGATGGGCTATAACAAATGCTTTAATTATACTCCCTCTATACACTAATAAGACGTTTTTGTAGTTGAGGGAGTACATAAGAACGAAAACGCCGGTCTTTATATAAGAAAGACTAAAATGGCAAGCAAACGATTTGCGACAATCATAAGCTCATCTCATTTTCTCTACAATTCGGATGGTTTTATGCTTACAGTTTGTAGAGTTTTTAAGGGAAACAAGCCACCAACAACAGCAAGAGAGAGTTGCCCCTCCTCACCATGGTTCTCAACTTTGAAGTATACACACCTCTCTGATTTGGTGTCGGTTTTCCAAACGCGCGCGCGCACACACACACACACACACACCGAGTAGCAGGCCATCAGTAACAAACTCAAGACGACTGACTGATAAAGCTAGTACTACAAAACGAATAACTTGGGCAAGGAAAACTAACACTGCAACGTACACAGATCTAGAGGGGTTCACGTGGAATCAACTTGGGCAAATGCGAGGGCATACCTTCTATGTCGGCAAATGGCCGCTTTCAGATCTACTTTGGATCCATCCTCTTCCACTTTAGTTAGTATGTTTTATTCTTGTGTTAGACTATGTCAATTTACTTTTTGAGACTTTTGAATTTCTTTCCGTGGATTGTGTGCATCGTGCTATGCAGTTGGATATAACATGTTTTGTTGTATTTTTATTCCTGAACAGAAGAAAGGTAGTAAAGGATGGACCTAGAATGCTGCATTAGATATCTCGCAAAAAAAAAGAATGTTGCATTAGATGAAACCTGACACATTACATCTTACAACAGAACCAATTAAAAACAAAAATAACAACCCAATCCTAAATACACAGAGAACCCTAAAACACAAAGATAGATTGCAATCCAGTCTCCTAAAAAAGCTTCAGTCTACTGTCACCGGGTATGAACCACTTGGAGCAATGTACTCGCCACCTAAAGTTGGAGACGCAAAGGCCAAGCCCAAATGTTTTCCATTTGGCACTCGAGCTAGGAGGAAAGAGCGGATACAGTCTCGTCCGACACCATACGACCATCGGCCATCCAATTTTTTTTATAGATAAAGGGCGATTCTAATTATTCAAAAAAATGTAGCATCAAGCGGATAAAGAACATTATGAGTAACAACCGCCCTCTGCATAGTTCAGATGCACACATTCAAACATCAATAGTCTGACAAAAAAAGATTAAAAACCAACATATCAGCTACAATAAAGTCATATAGGACCGACACTATGCCTATGTCGAAAGAGGAGGTGGACCGGTCCGGAGATTATGTTGCCACCCATATTGAGCAAAAACCTCCCTGGCAACCCGCTATCTCCCCATAAGGACTTGAGACTTAGCATGAACCGTAGCTTTACTATACTCATTGTCGTGGATGAGCGCCGGGACCAAACTGTCGCATCCGCTCGCGGGAGATCTTTGGCTGCCTTGACCACGTCTCCTCGAGCACATGGAAGGGAAGCAAGAATGTGAAGAAAACCTCCGGATGCTGGATCCAAGTGAGCTTATTCAGACAAGAGCAGGCGATGACACCCTCTCCACCTGGGTCTCCGACCATAGGAGCAACGCACGCAGGAGAACCGCCACCGCTAGCCACCGATGCAACCCGCCTGCTTTCGTAGCATTTTTCTGCCCTGCATAGTGCCACACCTTCTTAAGGGAACTCTAAATCTAGGCCTACTATTTGCACAAGATCGCCCGCTCTTCTCCCAAACATATTCTAGGCGGCAACGCCAATAAAGTTGGCTGACAGGAGTCGACTGTCAAGAGGCAAGACCAAGTGTGAGAGAATGAAGGGTTAGGAAGGAGTCTTGTTGTATATATTTGCTGGGACATTTGAGTCAATAAAAGTTCTCATGAATAAGGGGAAAATGTATTAACATATCCATTTGAATCCTACATGATTGAGAAAACAATAGGATTTTACAACAAATAGTGTTGGACAACATATAAAAACAAAGGAAAAGTTTTATGCTTACATTGTTTTTTCTCCAAGTAGAGTGCGAAGGAATACTTAGGAAAAATCCTCAGGTCCCATAGGAAAAAAATTCTAAGCATCCAAAATCTGACAAAATGCTATCAAATTTCTTAAAATCAAAGGGGCCCTTAGTTTAACTTCCCTAAGATTATGCATAGTGAAATATTATGAAATTTCCCTTTCGAGTCATCCGATATCTCACTCAAATTTCACTCTCTCAAAAGAAATCTCATTCGAAATAAGGAGTGCCTTCCGTTTTCGCTGAAAGAAATGAAACAAATCTAGTATTTATTCCCCGGCATAAGTAATTTGTCGATCTTGAACAAAGCTACGACGTCGTAGGTCTTGAAGAACAAAGCTACTCCATCCATTTGGATTTATTTGATCCCTACATATTTTGTGTCAGACTTAGACCATCTATATTACAAATAACTAAATATAAAGGACATGCTACAAAAAGTACACTCTCGGATTTGTATTTGAAAGAAGTTTTCCATGATATACTTTTTGTGTTATACAATTTATAAGTTTTGTAGTTCAATTTATAAGTCAAATTTTGTTCCAAAATAAGAGGGACCTGATAAACCGGGGTGGGGGAGTAGCTGGCCAGTGCAGAAACGAATACCTCGGGAACAAAAAACTAATACACCTAGTTAGACTGTCAGAGGCACAGCTCATGCGCAGATCTAGAGGAGTTAACATGGAGTGCAGACAACCTGTTAGTTAAACTAATCAAAGAGGAGTACTACTGTATTGTCAAAAATGTACTAATATATACCTCGTGTCGACAAATTGTTTCAGATCTCTGTACGCACGCCTGCACATTCCGATGCATTTTGAACATAAATTAACGAGCACAGAGACATCACACACTTTTCGACATTGAGCAACGCAGTTTTTTTGTTTCTTCCTCGTCGGGGTTAGCATCTATCTAAGGTTAATTACCGAAAAAGGCTCGCGCCCGCTTTATAGATAAAGCCAATGCCAAAGCCACAACCACAAAGTTCACACAAACACAAGGTCCACACGCACCCAAAGTCCAAGCACAAGAAAGTAACAAGGGGTACTGCTGAGGGCACAGCTCAACAAGCCCAACACACACAACCAAAAAGGCACACGCTCCAGAAGTGAATCATCCACTAGTCGGGCTCCGGGGGTGGCGGCGGGAGCGGAGGTGCCAGGCGGAAGGCCAACGAACGGAGGTCGGTGAGGAGTCTGTCGATGGCGTCCCGGTCCGGGGGGCGGCTAAGCGGCCGCCAGAGCTGCAAGTAACCACACATTTTAAAGATGGAGTCAGTCGCACGTCGAAGGGGCACCTTCTGAATGACAAGCCTATTGCGAACCGTCCACAAGGTCCAGGCCAGCACCCCGACGCACAGCCATCTAATATGTCTGTAGCGAGGGGGGGAGGCCTGAATTTCGGCAAGCAAGTCAGGGAAGTTGGTATTGCACCACTGTCCGCCAACCGTTTCGCGGAAACAAGACCAAAGGAATTGCACGAGAAGAAGATGTGATTAGCATCCTCAACCGTGGCACACAAGGGGCACATTCCATCACCAGGACCATGGCGTTTGAGGACCTCCACGCCGGTCGGGAGGCGGCCGCGGATCCACTGCCACAGAAAGATCCGAATCTTAACAGAGCCTCTCCGGTGGAGCAACGGTGCGATGCACATGGTGGTACTACATGGAAAGCACGTTATTTAGTTACAATGAACCGATGCTAAGCCTAGTGACAGTGCAACTGGCTGGAAGTATTAAGGCTGAGGTGGGGAGCACCCATTCGACCTACGCTGCTGCCACAACTCATCCTCCCTCACACAAAATTAACTTAGCTAGCTACCACACTCACAAGCTCTCAACCATGGAGGCCGCTCTGGTGAGTGCAGTGACGGGGGCCCTGAAACCCGTCCTGGAGAAGCTGGCTACTTTGCTGGGAGACGAGTACAAGCGTCTCAAGGGGGTGCATGGCGAGATCAAGTTCCTCACGGACGAGCTCGCCGCCATGCATGCCTTTCTTGTGAAGATGTTAGAGGAGGAGGATCCTGATGTGCAGGATAAGGTGTGGATGACGGCGGTGAGGGAGCTCTCATATGACATGGAGAACTCTATCGATGACTTCATGCAAGGTGCCGACCAGAAAGATGCAAAGCCAGATGGTTTCATAGAGAAGATCAAGTCCTCGCTAGGGAAGTTGGGAAAGATGAAGACTCATCATCGGATTGGCAAGGAGATTCAAGGTTTGAAGAAACAAATCATTGAGGTGGGCCAGAGGAATGCAAGGTACAAGAACCGTGAGGATTTCTCCAGCACCAGAAATGCAACTG